TGTGTAATAACCTCTCTAAATGGTCTGTTTCAGTGCTTCCTCAGTGTGGCACTCACATTAGGTTGTGTAATAACCTCTCTAAATGGTGGGTTTTAGTGGTTCCCAGTTGTGGTCAGCAGATCACCAGGGGTCCATGGAACAAATTTAAGTAGTCTTGTTGTCAACCCTACGTGGATGTACGCTTGTTTAGTGTGTGGGTTTTGTAACCTGACACTACACACTCATGTACGAAGCTGGAATAATGTTTAAGCTATGTTTTACTCAGAAAAAATCCTGGATAATCATGAAAACGTAAAAATGGCTCATAGAATAAAATGATGATAGCTGTATTTGGTACCCACAGGAGTAGGAAAGGGATAATTAGATATCAAGATGTATTCAGTGAGAGAATATCAAGATATTCAGTTCACCCCTCTGATTTTCTCCCCTCCTTGTAATAATTTATATAAATGCCACATCAAGTGATTTTTATCTAAAAGAGTTTAGGTAAATGTGTGTGAACACTGACACCTGAAGCTAAACATACAGTTTGTCCAGCTAAGATTTTATAATAACTTGACATTATCAGTATATGACATTAGTTTAAAGAGAATAAACAAATGGTACTGATTTGAATGTTTCATTATCCAGGCATCAGATGGTATGATGATAATGAGTCAGTCAGGGAGTTCAGTAGGCATGTGAGTGATGATGTTCGGGTGACAATCATTTTTATATTTTTATGAATAAGAATGGGACATAACTTAAATGACGATAGTGAACCTGTAGTCAGGTCTCAGTATGAGACTGCCTAACTCTTCTGCCTGGCTGGTGTTTGCACAGCCACTGATGGCTTCTCCACTAGAAGTCTCAGCTCAGGAATAGTGCTGTTTGATCCCTGGCAGCTTTGGGAACTGGAAAGAATGAATAATGAATGAGTCAAGAATTGACATCACTGCACTTAGGACATTCCCACTGCTCTGTTCCCTTCTTCAGCAGCCAGTGATGAGTCAGCATGTTTATAGTACCCGTTGCAATTTGATTACAAGTTTGTCTGTGTTTCCCCCTCAGTGTTGAATACTTTCAATCTCTGTCTCTCAGTTTATGGATTCTCTTTTTTATTACACTGTCCATTTGATCCCAGAAACACCTGTTTCACTGTCCCTCTGCCTTACACCTCTGTCGGACAGGTATAACACTAACCATATGCCCTTTGCTTAAGGGAGATAATTGCAAGGGAAAGCCCCTCTGATCAAGTTATCTGCCCTTTATGATGGCCCTTTGTTAATTCAACAACACCTCAGTGTTACAGGCAAAGCCCACAGCCCAGTGGTCTGTAATTTCAACTCCACTGTATCCACACTTTCTTCTCCTTCTGCCTTTCTAACCCGCAATGGAGCATAGGCCCTCAACCAACTCATGACAAGTGTTATATTCTTCGCTATCGCATGCAGCTCTCCCCATGTCATCCCTATCTTTTTAACTTCACTTTCTACCTCCCTTGTCCGTTTTGTGTGTGTGGGGTCTTCCTTTATTTCTATGTCCCTGTTTGGCCCAGTACAAAAAACAATATAGTTATATTGTTCTCAGGTTTTCTCAACATGTGTCCATGAAACCGCTTGGTTTCGAACGCCGACCGTGGCTGCAGTGAGTCGCAGCTGGATTTGAAAGCGAGCCTCCTATCGACTGCGCTTACACGGCCCCCTAATAGGTGTACAACTTCACAACCTGGAGTGGGATACCAATAAGAGAAACTACATTACTATTTGCCTAATTTATTCAGATTATCTTTGTCTTTCCCCTAGCTGCTGTGATCTGGCATCAAGTATCTTTAATTTATCTTGCATCTGATTCCATGAGTGGGACAGATGATAAATGTCACCAAAGTCCAGATTGTCAGGCAGTTTTGTAGGGGTCCACTGAATTTCATTCTTGGTGTTAGCAGTTTCTGTCTTCATAATCCAATTTATTGCCAGTAAAAATAGGAGAGGCGACAAAAGACATCTCTGTCAAACGTTTATATTTCAAATGTATGTGTTAGTTTTCCCATATGAAGAACTCAACATTTCATATTTTGCCTTTACAAAGTTAATTATCTTTTTTTCGGAGGATTCCATAGTGCCACATTAATTTCCAGAGAGGTTGATTCCCTATCACTGCTGTGAAAAGCTTTTTCGTGAATTCAGTTCAATGCTTAGCTCTATTATTAAACATAATGTGGCTATCTGGTCAGTACAGGATCTGTCTGGCCGAAAACCTGCCTGTTAATCTCTTAGCGTTTTATCAGTAGCATCTTTTAGTAATTCCAAAATAATCCTGCTCAATATTTTTCCAGGACCTGACAGCAACATAATTCTTCTATAGTTCTCACACTCCTGTAGATCACCTTTTTTGGTCACTTTCACAAGACATCCTTCTCTCCAGTCTGCTGGTGTTTCTTCGGTCTCCCATCCTTTACTAATCTATGTAGTGATTTTGTTGATGTGTTTATATATCTGGACCTGCCACACTGTCTGCCTGGTCTTTACTATCTAGATAAGTGTTCTTCAACCATTGGACTGCTGAAAAGTCTAGTAGGCCGCCAACAGTTGCTGCCTAATCATCTCACAGGACTGGATAGGTAGTTTTGCTTTTCCAGGATTGCAGTCTGTAGAAGTAACACTCAGTGATGAGAAAAAGAACTAGGTGGAAATCCCTAAAGCCCCATTCAGCGATATTAAGGTTATATTAAGACAGTTTATGGTAACGTAACCCACAGTCCAGTCTGGGCAGGGAATAAGGACTATATATCTCATGTAGCAGCTAGTGATATTTCACATAACAAGTCATCATTTAAAGGTGTTAGCTGACAACTTTGATGATTGTCTCCCTGAAAATGAGAATCCTTGTAAATGCAGTTTTTGGATTAATAATCATTTCTTTTTGAGTGTAAGGTATTGCACACTTGATCATTGTGAAAAAGAAAATCTGACTGAGTTGTCTTCTGATGTCAGCGTTGCCTCCAGACATAAAATGCAATCATTGTCTGACTTTTGGATATAACATGAAAAATAATATTCATTACTGAGTTATACAGCTGTCAGATTGTTAGCTGGTTTTTATTTTTTCATTTTTTTCAACTTCCTGTTTGTGTATAAAAACCTTTTCTGCCATGTAAGTATTAAAAATTAAAAAGAAATCGAATGGATGTTATTGCAGCACTTTGTCTGCAAGAAACAACTTTCCAGCCAAGTGTATCAGATTTTATAATCTCTAGGGAGATCATCAGATGTCACCTGAACCGAAAACCATCAGTTGAACAACAAACCAATATCTTTTCAGATGTCACCTGAGCCGAAAACCATCAGTTTAACAACAGACCCATATCTTTATTTGTTTTTGTTTCTGTCAGGTGGGCCATGAAACAGACTCCCCTGGGCTATGAAACAGTCTCCCCTGGGACATGAAACACTCTCCCCTGGGCCATGAAACACTCTCCCCTTGGCCATGAAACAGTCTCCCCTGGGCAATGAAACAGACTCCTCTGGGCAATGAAACAGACTCCCCTGGGCCATGAAACAGTCTCCCCTGGGCCATGAAACAGACTCCCCTGGGCCATGAAACAGTCTCCCCTGGGACATGAAACAGTCTCCTCTGGGCAATGAAACAGACTCCCCTGGGCCATGAAACAGACTCCCCTGGGCCATGAAACAGACCCCCCTGGGCCATGAAACAGTCTCCCCTGGGCCATGAAACAGTCTCCCCTATTTTAATGGGCTGTGGGTGTAAAAAAAAAAGTTTAAGGAATGCTGATCTCAATTGTTGACACCTAAAGACAACACAAGGGTAGTGAAGTTTTAATTTAACAGCAGTTAAAGAGAAGGTTTAATACCTTTATTCTGGTCAGCCTAGATTTAGGTTAAAGACCAGGAACCTCTTTTCTCTATTTTCTAAAATACATTTAAAAAAAATGAGCTGATATTCTGAGCCATGTTGCCATAGAGTTCTACCTAAAGTACATCTGCATATTCTTGACTTTCAAGAATGTCAAATCCTCTTATACCATAACTGTCCATAAGCGATCTTTTGCCAGTATTCCTTATGGCCGCAGGAAGTCTTGCACTTGTTTGCAGACATCCATTGTCCTTTTGACCAGGATAAGTCCACACTGTTTTGATCCTGGTATCATGCTGGCATTCCATTTGCCTGGAGGTTCCTCCTTCCACAGAATAAGAACTGTTTCATGCTTTGTCAAAGGGACTTCTCTGTGCCATTGATAGATAATCCCTGTCCATTTTGTCACTTCACCACACCCTATCTGCATAGGAAGGGCCTGAAGTGCTCTCCTAAAAGGATGAATTGCAGTCAGGTTGGATCCTTTTTCCCTCATTCATCCACAGATCCTGGAAATCTGTCAGTTTCTTTTTACTGTTAGGGATATTTTCACTCTGTGATCCCACGAGGTGAGTGCAACTGATAACTGCGAATTTCTTGGAAGAGTGCCGACTTTCTTTCCTCCTTGATTCATCATGTCATTCCCTTAATAAACTGCCCCAGTGGATTTCTCTTTAATAGATTTGTTTGTCAGAATTAGGGCATGCAAGTTTGTCAGGGTGTGAGGTCAGGTCTCAGGTTTTCTGCAGTGTGTAATGTGAAGTTACTTCTCACTGAAGTTTCCACCTGTTTTATGATTTTCTGTCAGTAGATTTTTATGACTGAATGATCTCTCTGGATTATTTAATGATCTGTGTCCATGGATTTTTGGTGAGTGAGGGATTTTACTTAATGATCTGTATCAGTGAATTTTGTATGCAGATAACCTATGGATTATTTGGTAATCTGTGTCAGTGGTTTAATTATCTCTATAATTATAGTTAATTTAATGATATATGGTAGCGGTTTGTTTAATATGCCATTCATTTTCAATAATTTATGTTCCATAGTGCACTTTGATGGTATGATCACCTCTAGGCTCAGTTGTATGCTAGTCTGACATTTCTTTGATATTTTTGCTATTTATCATCACCAGGGACAGTGGCAACATGGATTATATGCAGGAAGAGCCATACCCCAGCCACAGATTTGTATCACATGACCCCTACTTCAGTGGTGGAGGTGGAAGTGCTGGTGGCTACGATGCAAACTATGCCAATAACACATCCTTTGATCAACATTCTGTACACAGTGACAGGCACAGACTAGTAAGTGATTGTCATTGGGTGGGGATTGTTTTGTGTGTTATTCAATGTGATGTTTAAAGCGTTAATGAAGCCAGGGCTTTGAGAAGCATGGGTACACACAGGCATTCATGTTGTCTAGACGGGTTGGGGGTGTAAACATTTAAGCCACTTAAAGTTGTGAAACACAGGTTGCTTGATATACATGAATGACTCCCCGAGTTGTGTAGAGAATATAAAATCCATGGGTAGCTGACCGCTCTTGGTGGGAGTGCGTGGTATTAAAGTAAGTCGGCTTTTGCTTGGTCTAAACATGTGGACCTGTGCCCAAATTATGGTGTGGCAGTTTTAACAGTGTTTTATTCTGTGGAGCTCATGTGATGACTTCTGGATCATGTGTTGTACTTCATATTTTCTAGAATGGACTTGTGTTGGCTATCTGTGTGGGATTGGCAGAGTTGCTGCTATGTGGAACACTTGTTGACTGGGTGTCCTTAAGTGCACAGAAGGTGCTGGGGGAACTTTTTGTGTGCTGATCCAGCTTTTACTGGATCTTCTCATTCTGACCTGTTCAGAAGTTCTTCAGAATATTCACTGCAGCTGTTTCATTGATCTTTAAGTTTGATGAGAGCTTTCCTTCTACTGTCCTTGTTGAGTCCACTTGATTGATTATATTTTCCTGCTGTGGTGAAACCTTTGTTCCCAAACAACTCTTGTTTTTGAAAAATTCAATTTTTGAACAAAATGCACCTATGTTTCCCAACTGATGTTTAGATTTCGTACAGCCAGACCATACATTGATGCACCTATGTTTCCCAACGGATGTTTAGATTTCGTACAGCCAGACCATACATTGATGCACCTATGTTTCCCAACGGATGTTTAGATTTTGTACAGCCAGACCATACATTGATGCACCTATGTTTCCCAACGGATGTTTAGATTTCGTACAGCCAGACCATACATTGATGCACCTATGTTTCCCAACTGATGTTTAGATTTCGTACATCCAGACCATACATTGATGTACCTATGTTTCCCAACTGATGTTTAGATTTCGTACAGCCAGACCATACATTGATGTACCTATGTTTCCCAACTGATGTTTAGATTTCGTACAGCCAGACCATACATTGATGTACCTATGTTTCCCAACTGATGTTTAGATTTCATACATCCAGACCATTATTGATGTACCTATGTTTCCCAACTGATGTTTATTTCGCACAGCCAGACCATACATTGATGTACCTATGTTTCCCAACGGATGTTTAGATTTCGTACAGCCAGACCATACATTGATGTACCTATGTTTCCCAACGGATTTTTAGATTTCGTACATCCAGACCATACATTGATTTACCTATGTTTCCCAACGGATGTTTAGATTTTGTACAGCCAGACCACAAATTGATGCACCTATGTTTCCCAACGGATGTTTAGATTTTGTACAGCCAGACCATACATTGATGTACCTATGTTTCCCAACGGATGTTTAGATTTTGTACAGCCAGACCATACATTGATGTACCTATGTTTCCCAACTGATGTTTAGATTTTGTACAGCCAGACCATACATTGATGTACCTATGTTTCCCAACTGATGTTAAGATTTCGTACATCCAGACCATACATTGATGCATCTATGTTTCCCAACGGATGTTTAGATTTCGTACATCCAGACCATACATTGATGTACCTATGTTTCCCAACGGATGTTTAGATTTTGTACAGCCAGACCATACATTGATGTACTTATGTTTCCCAACTGATGTTTAGATTTTGTACAGCCAGACCATACATTGATGTACCTATGTTTCCCAACTGATGTTTAGATTTTGTACAGCCAGACCATACATTGATGTACCTATGTTTCCCAACTGATGTTTAGATTTCGTACATCCAGACCATACATTGATGCACCTATGTTTCCCAACAGATGTTTAGATTTTGTACAGCCAGACCATACATTGATGTACCTAAGTTTCCCAACGGATGTTTAGATTTTGTACAGCCAGACCATACATTGATGTACCTATGTTTCCCAACTGATGTTTAGATTTCGTACAGCCAGACCATACATTGATGCACCTATGTTTCCCAACGGATGTTTAGATTTTTTACAGCCAGACCATACATTGATGTACCTATATTTCCCAACTGATGTTTAGATTTTTTACAGCCAGACCATACATTGATGCACCTATGTTTCCCAACGGATGTTTAGATTTTTTACAGCCAGACCATACATTGATGTACCTATGTTTCCCAACGGATGTTTAGATTTCGTACAGCCAGACCATACATTGATGCACCTATGTTTCCCAACTGATGTTTAGATTTCGTACATCCAGACCATACATTGATGTACCTATGTTTCCCAACGGATGTTTAGATTTTTTACAGCCAGACCATAGATTAATGCACCTATGTTTCCCAACTGATGTTTAGATTTCGTACATCCAGACCATACATTGATGTACCTATGTTTCCCAACGGATGTTTAGATTTCGTACAGCCAGACCATACATTGATGTACCTATGTTTCCCAACGGATGTTTAGATTTCGTACAGCCAGACCATACATTGATGTACCTATGTTTCCCAACTGATGTTTAGATTTCGTACATCCAGACCATACATTGATGTACCTATGTTTCCCAACGGATGTTTAGATTTTTTACAGCCAGACCATACATTGATGCACCTATGTTTCCCAACGGATGTTTAGATTTTTTACAGCCAGACCATACATTGATGTACCTATGTTTCCCAACGGATGTTTAGATTTTTTACAGCCAGACCATAGATTGATGCACCTATGTTTCCCAACGGATGTTTAGATTTTGTACATCCAGACCATAGATTGATGCACCTATGTTTCCCAACTGATGTTTAGATTTTTTACATCCAGACCATAGAGTGTGACACAGGGGTCGGTACTAGTAATCGTGATGACGGAGTTAATCCTGACTGTGTTACCAAGGAAATCCACTGTGTCAGACTAAGAAACAGAATGCGAATAGGAACGTGGAATGTGAGAAGTCTGTATGAAGGAAAGCTTAAAGTAGTATGTGATGAGATTGAAAGATTAAATATTCAGATCTTAGGAATTTGTGAACATCGTTGGAGTGGCAAGGGACATTTTATCAATGAATATGGAAGCTTTTTCGTATATTCTGGTAGAGATGTAAGAGGCCAGAGCGGAGTGGCATTTTGTTTAGATAAAACAACAGCAAAAGCTATTATGGGATATAATCCAGTTAGTGATAGAATCCTAACTATCAGACTTAAAGGCCGTCCAAAAAACATAACTTTCATGCAGGTATATGCACCAACTTCAACAGCAGAGGAGGGCGAAATTGAAGATTTTTATGCCATACTGCAAGACACATTAAATAAAATTAATCAGAATGATATAATAATAATAATGGGAGATTTTAATGCTAAAGTAGGTACAGGCAGAGATGAAAATGAGAGACACGTTTTAGGAAAATTTGGATTGGGTAATAGAAATGAAACAGGAGAAAAATTGATTGAATTTTACATAGAAAATGAATTAACAATAGCTAACACACTTTATAAACAACACCCTAGAAGGCTTTTCACATGGACATCCCCTGACGGTGTTACCAAAAATCAGATAGATTACATTTTAATACAAAGAAGATGGAGAACGAGCATAACATCTGCAAAAACCCTGCGAAGTGCAGATTGCGATACAGATCATCAGTTACTAGAAGCAGATCTAAAATTAAAACTCAAAAAGCTTACCCGAGGACCAAGGCCATTTCGATTTGATCTCACAAAAATACCAGATGCATACAACGTAGAAGTGAAGAACCGTTTTGAGGTCTTGATGTCTGTACAAGAGGAAATGACACCTGATGAACTGGCGGTACAAGCTAGGGATATCTTGATAACAGCAGCTAAAGACTTAATACCCACCAGGACTAAGCAACATAAACCATGGATCACACCATACACGTTAGAACTAATAAAACAACGAAGAGAACTGAAAAAGAAAGGAGAAACCAATGATAGTAGGATGAAGTATAAATTTTTTACACGAGAAATAAGAAAGTACACAAGAAAGGATAAAAATCAGTATGTACAAGATTGCTGTATTAAAATAGAGCAGCATCACAAAAATGGAAGAGATTACGAAATGTTCAAGGAAATGAAGTTATTGACAAGAAATTTTCAACCTCAGTTAAATGTTATTTGTGACAGGTTTGGAAATACTTTAACAGAATCTAGACAAATTCTAGGAAGATGGCAGGAATACTGCAGCGGAATGTATGATATGAATGACAGTGAGGATATGAATGATATACATGAACCAGTAACAGTAGAGGCAGAACCTGAACCTTCATTAGATGAAATTTCATGGGCAATAAGGAGCCTGAAAAATGGTAAATCACCTGGATGTGATGAGATACCAGCTGAATTGATTAAAGCGGGAGGAGAAGAAAGCATAAAAATCTATCATGCATTATGTGAAAAGATATGGAAATATGGTATTTGGCCAAAAGACTGGAAGAGAACTATCTTCATTCCAATACCAAAAAAGGGTGACCTGAAATTATGTACAAACTATCGAACTATTGCCCTGATCAGTCATGCAAGTAAAATTCTACTAAAAATTATAATGAGAAGACTGCAAAAGAAAATGGAAGAAGAGATTAATGTAGCTCAGGCTGGATTTAGACAGGGAAGAGGAACAAGAGATCATATATTCAACCTGCGTTTAATAATAGAGAAGTGTAGAGAATTTAATGTAAATCTGTTCTTATGTTTTGTGGATTATTCAAAAGCATTTGACTGTGTACAACATCAGAAGCTTTGGGAAATCATGAGGAATATGGGCTTTCCATCACATATAGTGCAGCTCATTAAAATGCTCTATCAAGACCAACAAGCAGCAGTCAGAATAGATGGAGAGACATCAGACTGGTTTGGCATCAAGCAAGGAGTCCGTCAGGGATGTGTGCTGTCACCGTATTTGTTCAACCTGTACGCCG